TATACCTTTCAGTTCTTCAGAAGAAGTCGTTTGAAGTGTTTGACACATTTGACCCCTGTGACCTTGAAAGAAGGTCAAGGTAATTTTCATTCTCAAACTTTGTTGGGCTCTATCCCAGGAAGCCACCAGCCAAATATAAAGATTATATACCTTTCAGTTCTTCAGAAGAAGTCGTTTGAAGTGTTTGACACATTTGACCCCTGTAACCTTGAAAGTAGGTCAAGGTAATTTTCATTCTCAAACTTTGTTGGGCTCCATCCCAGGAAGCCATCAGCCAAATATGAAGATTCCATACCTTTTAGTTCTTCAGAAGAAGTCGTTTGAAGTTTTTGACATATTTGACCCCTGTGACCTTGAAAACAGGTCAAGGTCATTTTCGTTCTCATACTTTGTAGGGCTCCTACCAACGAAGCTTTCAGCCAAGTATCATGACTCTAGGCCTGTCCGTTCTTCAGAATAAGTTGTTTAAATGAAAAGTTGACGGACGAGCATGGACGGACGCCGCGCCACGGCATAAGCTCACTTGGCACTTCGTGCCAGGTGAGCTAATAACTAGTTAGATTTACTTAAGTAATGATACATGTACGAGCAGTGATCAATCTACTTATTAGTCCCAAGTCCTATACTCCTAGAATTTCTTGAAATATTTAGATTTAACAGTGTGACCCATTGTTTTACAAATACATTTGAAAAGGACCCACAAAAATAAATTGTAGATTGAACACTGTACAAGTATTAGTAAAGATGTATTTAAGGTTTAAAACTTTACATTCCAAGTTCTTTAGCATTTTATATTTATAAATAAATTAACTCAGTACTTTTCAAAATGCCAGATCCCATCTGAAAAACTGAAACAGCAACAAGGAACTTTACTAAAAAAGAAAAAAGGATTTTATTTTAACTTGATAGAGATGTTTACAAACGTAACTTCCATGTTCTTTTTAATCAATTCACAAAAAGACTGTCAACAATTACAAAATTTCCAGGAATTTCTGAGAAAAAGGAAAACAAGTGAAAGACACTAGAGATCATAGGCTGATTGTAGTTGGATTACCTTCAACCACAAAAATCTAATATTCATTCATACATACCTGTAACACGTTTAAATTCATTTTCAAGTCTTTCAGCTTTTTCAGCAAATCTGACGATGAACCTTGATCCTAAAAACAAGTAGGAAGGTGTTGTAATTGTGCATCAATTGATAAAGTGACTGTAGTTGTTCTGACAAAATGTATCTATCAAATTGAATAATAATTTGGTTACTGTTGCATGCTTGTGGTAGAACACATATTTTCATACTGGACAGTGTTCACCCTAGAAATTTTTGATGCGCTATGGCATCTGCTTTTTAACCCTTCCATCACAGCTTTGATAATTAACAGACATCAGTAATTATAATTAAACGAAAAACATGCAGGTAATTGCGGTCTATTGTTCACGTTTCACACCTATAGGTAGTTCACATACCCACAGGTAAATCTACCCGCAGGGCAGAGTTCGTTGATCAGGGTGTAGGTCGTAGGGAACAATAAAAGCTAGTCTAATGAGTGTGAATCTTATTGGAAAATAAAGGGGAGAAGAGGTCATCATGTCATGATAACTTAATGTGTAATGGTCAAATGCATGTGTAACGGCTCAAAATTCATGTGTAACGGTACCATTATGCTAAAACAGCCTGGGGAGAACACTGCTGGTACAAAATGTATGTACAATTGTAAAAGATGTGTTTTTTTCATAATGTCAAAGTAGGCTCATTAGCCTCATCTGATCTAGAGGGAATTTCTGTTTCACCCGGTGACCAGTTGAAAATATGCAAAATAAACAAAGTAGAGCAACAATGTTTAGGCTTTTTATTTTAACTTAAACGTGGAATGAAATCACGGCGAAGGACAATATTACGTGACCAATTTCTGTGCCAGTCTATTTATAGCACACATTCCAATATACTGTGACACCGCTACAGATATCCAAATAGATAGAAGGGTGTCTGGAGAAAAAAAATACAAATAATTTTGATGTTTGTATCTGCTAATTTTTCACCGTAAAATGTGGGGGGTTTTCTAAATAGGATGCACTTCCTTTTACCAGGAATAAAGAAGAAAATTTACAGAAAATTAAACAAGGACACAAAATAACAATACTTTTACAACGCCAGAAGAAAACTGAAGTCTGACAAACCAGAAGACATGCATGACAATATGATAAATAATTTTGTTAAGCAAAAATATTGCATATAGAAATTATATCAACTTTTCTATCGTTTTCCAATCCAATAAAAAAGTAAATGCGGAAAAGCTACTTCTATGCATGTTTTTGAGTTTATTGTTAATTAAGTTGTTTTTGCTTCATCTTCTCTTACATCTTTGCAAGGGTTAAATATTTAAAGTGTACATGTTTGTAAACCCAAAAACAGTACTACTTCAAATTAAATAAACTCAATGCACTATGACTTATATGATGAGCACAGTGGCACATCCAAGTGCGATATGAGGGGGGAATGCACTGCCAAACCAGGATTCCAACTGGGAACCCTCCAGGTCTCCGTGTTTTGGAAAGCATTTAACAAACGCTGTATGTTTGTTTGTTTTTCATATACTATGATACAAAATATATGGTAAGGGAAGTAACTCGTTCATCCTTTCATGTATCTTGAAAATATTATTAGCATTTGACAACATTGACACTATGGGATCATTTACATCCCTCATATATATCCATCAGTTTTTAGATTTTGGCTGTTTAATAACCAAACAACACCGCAAATAGACGTCACAGAGCTCTACTGTATACAGTAGCACCATCGCTACTGTATGCAGTATATATTTTAGGGTCAAGGTCGCGGAATAGCCTTAGCAAACATCAACGAGCTCGTCAAAGTATACACAACATATACTTATCCATTTACATGTCCGCTCATAGATTGTCAAGCACTAAACTGAATATAATTAAACAAAGTGCATTATGGAAACATGTATTTATTGGAAGATGAACAAAAGAAAACGCTTTCATTTCATCCAAACATCACCACACACACGAATACTTACGGTACTATTGTTCGAAATCATCTTTTCCAACTTTTTCCCGATCTTAACGACTTCTTCTTCACAACTCATGGTTTATTTGAATGTGTTGACTCGGTTGTGTCTGAAATAATGGGTTTATTTGGGACAAACTTTGGGACTTTGCATTTGTTAATGTTTTGTCTGCGTCTCCTGAAACCGGAAGTAAACCTAATATTGAAAATGGCGGTCAATGGCCGCTTGGAAATTATTTTTAACCAGCATAATAAAAAAAATCATCCGTCTGGTCTTTCTATCATTTTGTCATTTTGAAGTAATAAAACATAACGATGCTAAATAAAATACCATTTACAGTTAAAAAGTAACATGAACCTTAAGTGAATTATAATAGTTTAACCAATTATGATATTTTTTCAATCCGGAACTGATTCTGGCCTCTTAATTTTAGCATCGCTTCATAGAAATTCATTACCTAAAATTGTTTTACTAATTATCAAAACTAAAAGGATTGATTTTTAATTGTTTCGATGGAGAAATCTGACATTTTGGCATACATCCGGATATTATTGACTCTAAAATTATATTACAGTAAGACGTTTCCTGTCCATGAACAGAAAGTTGTTTTATCTCGTAGTGTTACGTTACCTTAGAAGAGATTCAGTATTGAAGAAATATGCAGAAATAGACAAGCATGTTCAGAGGAAAGGGGAAATCGAAAAGTTCCCAGCACAGTGAAAGTGGACGCGAATCTGGGAAGTTGGTAAGAATTTAAAAGTTGGCCAGTGAACATTTCCTGAACATTTCTCTAAATATTACAAGCGTATCCCACTGAACATTTTAATTTGCAAGCATTGCTGTAAGCCTGAGACGTATAATACATTATTATACGTCTGTGTGTAAACCTACTATACTTTTGGATTGTAATAATGATGATATATAAGGGACCTTATTAATAAGTGAATTTTATAATAAAGTTAAAAGTACAAGTAATATTGAAGAAGCCTCAGCAGAACATTCCCAATGAACAGTTAAATTCAAGACATTTTTTAAATTATGTTTGTAAACACATAATAAGTTGAATATTCATTAGAGATAAAAAAATAAATAAAAAATGAATATATACATTGTTACCGATAATCAGTGTTCAAAATTATTTACATGATAATGTAACAGGAAAAGAGAAGATTAAAACTCAAGACCCTCTGATCAAAATGTAGAAAGAGTATAATCTAGCGAATTGAGCTACCTGGATGCTTACGATCAACCCAGTCTAATTATGTTACACTCCTCCCTCCATTTCTAAGTCTTGGTCCCTGCAGACAAATCTTAACAACCCATGCCCCAGATTGGCACCAAATGTAACAGGAGAAGAGAAAAATGCTCGGCTAGTGTGGGATTCGAACCTGGGACTGGCCATGCATTTTGTCTTTTGTCACATTTTGCACCCAACATGAGGTGTAGGTTGTAAATATTGATGTTTTGGGGGTGAAAACTTCAAAAAGCTTTAATATTATCATTCTTTCAATTGTATTTTTTATGTTTTGTAGACCTACAGTTAAACCTCTGTATATTTAATTGTCTGCATTTGTCAAGTGGAATTTGGACAACTAAATTGGGTTAAAGGAATAATTAAGAAATGCTGGCAGTTATGGAAGTGGTAGACAAAATCAGAGGCATTAAATCATACTTGCCAACTCTCCCTATTTAGGAGGGAGACTCACAATTTTGAACCTTAAATTTAGTAGTTTCAACCAGTGAGTTTGCTGTATTCCTTTATTCCAATATCTAACGATTTCATTTGAAAAGAAAAACTCAAAATATTTCATTTTGAAGGGTTATTTTGTCAATAGGGGGTATATATATACACACATTTTATTTATGTTTTAATATTGAGAAAGCAGAATCTCCCCCTGGGAAATTTCAATAAGTTGGCAAGTAAGACTAAATCTTGGTTTTGTTGTACATATTTATTTTTTCAGGGTGGGTCAAGTCCAGAAATTATTCTAGATGGACTAAATCAAGAGACCAATTTTGAGGTATTTTTTCTTGGAGCTGTGCAAGACATCAACATGGTCACATCACGAAAGCGAGACAAAGAGGCCCAGTTGGTTGACCAGGTGGAGGAAGCGCAGGTAAAAACTGACAACCTGAGTGAAAAAATTGTAATATTATGATATCATGTGTTGTAACATTTCCATTATGAACAGAAACATTAAAAAGAACTTTATCCCTTTTTGTGTGGGAAGCAAAAGACATACAAACAATGACTTAAGATCATGTAAATTGAGCTAAATACCAATATTGGTGTTCAGGTAAATGATTCGTAGAAGTAAAATATTTTTCTAAATGTGTAAAGAAAAAATTATCCGCCAGGTATGTATTTCCATATATACATGTATATATGGTAAAGAAATTTGTTTGTGTTTAACAAACTATTGTCTTTGTTAAAAAAAAAATGCATGCAAACAAAATTGATTTCTCAATGAATAAAAATGCTTCATACTTTTATGTGCAAAAAGAAACCTGTATTAATTGTTACTTGAAGATTGATGGTAAGCTTCCATTAACGCCAAGAGATGAAGACAAAGTTAATATCACCATTTCCAGACATGGTCTTAAGGTGTTGGACTCCACAAAGAAGGTAAGGACTGCATTGACTGTGCTTGGTAGTACATCTGTAAGAAAAACTCAGTAACTGAATACTGTCATGCTGTACTGGTGAATGCAAGTTAAAAAAAAAACCTAGAGATATGACAATGTACAAGGACTCAACCTATTTCATAAAAAAAAACCAGATGATTATTTCTCCAACAACTACAATAGCTTTCCTCACTATTTATTCATTAGATAAACTTGCTAGGAACCACTGGTGGGTATAACACACTGGACATATTTGTTTTATTCAATCTTCATACTAAGAAGACAAATAACAATGCTTTGCGATGTCTTCTTCCATTGTGAACCATAGTTTACGGCAATTTGTTTCCCCTATCAGAAACAGGAAACAGGTAAACCTTTTGTGTCTTTATAAAATTTGAAAAATAACCGACTCAAGTTAGATGAACATGATAACCAACCATCACTTCTTGAGGAACTTCTGTGTCACCAGTTGTATCAGGTAACCATTGTGATATGTTTTAGATAGATCATCAGACTGGTAACAAAACTTTTATAGTCATTAACATTAGCACTTATAATCTGTGACGATCATCAGCAATAGCAGTGCATGTTGTGGGACCACAAAACCATCTGCTGAAACATTCCTGCATAAATAACATAGCCAGATTGTCCAATACTTGTTATTCCTGTTAAGGTAATAGGATTGTGTCACCATTTCTCAGAAGAATTTCTTCAAATTTTGTAGTTATATTGCTTTGAAATAAAGAAAATTTTCTGCCCCAAAAAAATATAGGTTGTCTGAATTTTAAGGATTTTAAATGGAAATTTATGTAAAAAGGAGTGAATAAAGAAGAAGAAAAATGAAAGACACAGTTTTTTGCAAAATAATGTCAATAAAAAAGATATTGACATATATTAGTATTGCATTAATGTATATCAATTTAATAAATGCTGAAATTGTGTAAAATTAATTATCTATAAACGATTAAAAATTGACATTTTATAATAAAACCATATACACATAGTAATTGCATGTAAGAGTTATCTTTCTTGAAAAACTTCACAGTAGTGAAATACATTGTAGGTAGCCGGTTTCCTGAAGTACAAAAAAATGGACACATGTGACTCATTGATAAAAAAAACAACTGAATTAAGGCCTGGATTGCTTTGAAATACTTAAATATTGAGAGAATACACTGTTCTGTCAAAATAAACATACAATATTTATCAGTTTGATATTATAAACATTAGAATATGCGGAAATTGTGATACTGTCTCCCTACATTGGATTTTCAACTAGTGATGAACTTCCTATTTCCATTTATCAATACACTCCTATGACCCTAACTGTTACATTTACCTACACATGTAGATGACTCACTAAAGTTACATGGTACGTCTGTAATTTACAGGTTAGATTTACCTGTATAAATGGACAGGTAAATAACATAACCAGTGTATATATGGTACTTATGTTTTCTGTTTGTCTTATATTCAACTATAAATGTATATACACTATACTATATATCTAATGGTCCAATTTGTCCAATAACAGGAGGTTCTACAGAGACATCCACTCCACATTATTGCTCAAGTGGTGCATTATGAGGACGGCTTTGGTAAACCAAACGTTGCCTTTAAGATAGGACAGCTTCAGCACTCCAAGGATACCTGTATATACCAGTGTTATGTCTTCCAGTGTCCAAACGAGGTTTGTCAAGTAAAATTCTACCACAAATTAAGTTCAAAGTTACTACAATGACTTTAACTCATTCATCCCTGAAGACACATTTGAACTCTTCCAATTTGAAAGTAGGAATAGTTCGTTATGAAATTTCAGGGGTGAATGAGTTAAATTGAAATAATACTTTAATACCATTGTTATGGCTTCCAGTATCCAAGAGGTTTGTGAAGTTAAAGGATTTTCAAAGTTGTTAGAAAAACTTGAAATTGAAATAATGGTTTGTCTTTGTAAGAATTTATTTCATTTTTCACACAATCCATATTTTGTCATGTTCACTCTTAAGCTGTTACTATGATTCCAACAGTTACGGTATTGAATTAGGTTCAGCTGTGCAATCGAGCCTTATTTATCCAGTGACCATTAATCCTGCTGTGCCACTATCTAGATAGTGTTTATTTTGCGACTGATGTGATTACACAGCATAAGTCATGTTCTTACTCATACATTGTGTGTTTTTATTTATAGGATCAAGCCCAGGCTGTGTGTCAAAGTTTGAGGAACATTTTCAATGCTATAACTGTCCAGTGAAAGAGTCAGGAACAAACTGGTACAATGGCCTTATCAGAGGATAGGAACAGAGGTGCTGTTACAGTCCAATGAGCCTTATCAGAGGATGGGATTATCAGAGGATGGTAACAGAGGTGCTGTTACAGTCCAATGAGCCTTATCAGAAGATGGGAACAGAGGTGCTGTAACGGTCCAATGAGCCTTATCAGAGCATGGGAACAGAGGTGCTGTAACAGTCCAATGAGCCTTATCAGAGGATGGGAACAGGTGCTGTAACAGTCCAATGAGCCTTATCAGAGGATGGGAACAGAGGTGCTGTTACAGTCCAATGAGCCTTATCAGAGCATGGGAACAGAGGTGCTGTTACAGTCCAATGAGCCTTATTAGAGCATGGGAACAGAGGTGCTGTAACAGTCCAATGAGCCTTATCAGAGCATGGGAACAGAGGTGCTGTAACAGTCCAATGAGCCTTATCAGAGGATGGGAACAGAGGTGCTGTAACAGTCCAATGAGCCTTATCAGAGCATGGGAACAGAGGTGCTGTAACAGTCCAATGAGCCTTATCAGAGCATGGGAACAGAGGTGCTGTTACAGTCCAATGAGCCTTATCAGAGGATGGGAACAGGTGCTGTAACAGTCCAATGAGCCTTATCAGAGCATGGGAACAGAGGTGCTGTAACAGTCCAATGAGCCTTATCAGAGGATGGGAACAGAGGTGCTGTTACAGTCCAATGAGCCTTATCAGAGGATGGGAACAGGTGCTGTAACAGTCCAATGAGCCTTATCAGAGCATGGGAACAGAGGTGCTGTAACAGTCCAATGAGCCTTATCAGAGGATGGGAACAGAGGTGCTGTTACAGTCCAATGAGCCTTATCAGAGGATGGGAACAGAGGTGCTGTTACAGTCCAGTGACTTTATCAAAGTGTCAGAACAGTCAGTGATATAACAGTTTAGTGACCCTTATATCAAGGGATGGGAACACTTAGTGCTGTAACGGTCTGTCCAATGACACATTGATACTGTCCTAGTTACATTTATGAGTAACATTATGTGATATACTATAAATACTGAAACGAATTGTAGCCAAACTTGTCCCATGGATGAATGGAGACTTATGACTGCCATGAAAGACTGAAACGTGTGACAGCACGTTCCAATCAGACTTCAGTATGAATATGGTGCTTCTCATATTTTATTTGCTACAATATGTACATGTTTAAAATGTGTGTGTTCACCTTGAGTTTTGCATGTCAAAAATGGCTTTTATATTTTTGTACTTTATGTTATAGTTTGAAATATTTTATACAACAAGAACTACTGCTGGACAGTAGATCATAACTGGTTGTGAAATCTTCCTTGTGTAGGTTTTATATGGACAAATAAAATCATCCTTGCAGGTTTAGGATCGTTGTATAAAACCACACCATGTATGTTCCTATGTATGTTTTTATTCTTTATTCAATGTAAACACATGTGATCTATTCTGTAGACCATAGGCCAAACAAAACTGTATTTTCAGGTACCCTGACTGACCCTTGTTTTTCTCGCCGACCCAAACTTTTTAAACGCACTCCATCCAGTGGGATAACGTGTCCACTAGATGCAAACAAATTGATGGACAAACAAACAATATATATATACCTCTGGGCTCTCTACTCAATAGGCAGCTATCAAAACCAAACTTAAATCCAATGTTGTGATTTTAAAGACCTAAAAATATGCTTGGTCATTTCTGTAATTTCTAAAATAAGCCCCCACCCTTCAATTTAAAAAAATAAAAAGTTAAATTGAAAATATATCCTGACCGACTTACCCTGGGTTTTTTCAATCGTGTTTACCTTAAACATACATATTTATTTTGACATATTTATGTGGGGTCATTCATGCTTTTATGGACTCTTATATGGTATATTGTTGTCAATTATTATCAGTTCAAGGTTAAGGTCACTTGCTTAAAATATGTTTATGAAATAGGACTTGATCACAGTGTTGTTATGTTCAATTTCTATATGCCAGACATGTGTATGTGAGGGGTTTGTATCGCTGGTGATGTATTGGTTCTAATGAGTAATCAATATATCTATTTAGATTATTGAAATGTGATTTGTTAAGATGGTTTTCAAGCAATGAATAAATTTCTGCTTGGTTTATTTTATTAAAAAAAACAGTGTTTGATTTGTTATGTGTTTGTTATTTTATTAGTGTATTATTTTTTTCTCTTTTTGAGAATGACTAAATGTACCTTTTGTACACTATTGACCCCTGTTAATCATACAAATGTATATGCTTATAGTGCACCATCATCCAGGCCAGTATATAGTGGGAATTTGTGGAAATGATACAGGACTGCTCATACAACATAAAATGGTTAGGCATAACTACAGTACATACCTGGTATGCACTGGATTAACTTCACTTAGTCACATCCACTATCCTCGAGTTCTTCCTGAAAAATGATGACATGCTTCAGCTAGAAACCACTTTGGGTGTTAACATTTTCAGATCCCTTCAAAAAACAACTAAGCCTGCCAGGTAAGTGGTAGATAAGTATTTGTTGTTAGTTTTATGAAAATTAAAATGTCTTTTTTTCGTGATATCGCACAGAAATACTGGAGAAAAATGCATGCTGGACACTTGTGGCGATATTGAATTTCATATTTTGCTCAAAATCAAATTTAAGCAACTAATTGATCATGATATTGATACTCGACGTATTTGTAGAATGAACAAGGACACAAGAGGAGCATAGATCGAAAATTGGCGACAGATCCACCCAGTACTTCCTCAGAAAAAGTGATCGCAATATTTCAAGATGGCCGCCTAACAGCGATATTGATCTTGTGATTATATCCAAAATTGAACAAGGCATAACTGAAGACTCAGGGAAGCATACATTTTAAAAAAGATTCCTCCCGTACTTTGAAAAATAGGTAAAGTAATTTTTGTTCCCAAAACAATTTCTGGCTTTATATCAAGGGGATTACAGCCAAATATTATGAGTTTAGGCATTTCGGAATAATTTGTTTGAAAGTTTAGATTTTTTTCCCTTTCACCTTAAAAGTAGAGAAAGTCAAAGTTTTTTTTATTCACAAACTTTGTTAGGCTCAAACCCAGGAAGCTACCAGCCAAATGTCATGATTCTAGGGTTAAAAGAAGTTGTTTGACGTTTTTGAAATATTTGACATCTGTCACCATTGAAGTGGGTCAAGGTTATTTTTGTTCAAAAATTTGTCGGGCACAGTGAGTGAGTATATCAAGAATCTTTCAGCCAAAACTGTTTTAGTTTTCAGAAGAAGTCATGAAGATTTTGACCTCTGTGACCTTGAAAGTAGGCTCCAGCCAAGGAAGTTACCAGCCTAATATCATGATTCAAGGCATTTCAGTTCTTCAGAAGAAGTCTTTTGAAGTTTTCGACCACTGTGACCTTGAACGTAAATCAAGGTTATCTTTGTTTGCAACTTCTGTTGGGGCTCCACCCGAGGAAGTTACCAGCCAAATATGATTCTATGCCTCTTGGTTCTTCAGAAGAAGTTGTTTAAAGGAAAAGTTGATGACAGACAGACGGACGACCGACCTTGGACGCTGCGCCATGGCATTATAAAGAAGTTGGTATCATTGGCTTTCTATTTTGACCAATAGCACCAATCAGAAGGATCACCATACTGAGAAATGACTGTCAACGGGTGAGCATCCTACCATCAATTTACTAGGAAATATGTCTTTCATCGTTATCGGTCATGTACTGACCCCTTAAAAGTCTGAGGTGTTTGAAATAGCAGCAATCGGAGGATTCTGATGGATGTACAAAGTAAAAGTGTCTGATGGTGAGTTTCCATATGTCTGTCTCAACAAGCGATACTTTTTGTATGGCACTGCATAAGCTTTTCACTAAAACACTCGGCTTTTTAAGCTCAGAAAAAATAACAATGAATGAATGGTACAGTGTACATGGCAGGACTTTATTTTGACATCAGTTTAACTATATTTACACATAGTCTTAGTCACCATTATAATTTATTACACTGCATCCTACCAGATTGAGATCAGTTCTGTGCTATAAATACATAATGTAATGTGAGACGGTATACATAAATAGTATTATATTTAGTGTAGGAGGGTATATATATTACATTTTTCTATAATGTCTGGTAAACTTCATTCTTACGTCCTAGTTATAATAGTTGACGACAAAGCTGTTATTTTCCAGGCTTTGCAGTAGATTACATTTAAAGATATATGTACATGTAGGTAATTTTTGTAAAATGTATCAATATACAAATATACAGAAAATGCATACCGGGTATGTTGGATTTTTATAAGGAATGAAAGGTCGACACTGTTAGTACATGTAATGTGCCAAAGTCATATAATTTGAGCCGAGAGTGACGAAAAAAACTACACCATTCATGTTTCCACTCTAAAAAGAAGACCTAGAACGTCTTTGAGCATGAAAGTATCTATAGCAATGAAAAATTACTTACGCGTAATGTATTTTGTATTAAGTACACTACATTGTAGTATATTTTATATGATATAACGAGGTGCCTATGGTTTGCATTTGGTAACAGATCTCATATTGCATAATGCAGAAATAATAACTAATTCCACGGCGTCAGATTCATCCTAACCCTAAACCCTACCTAAGTCCGCGCTTATTCAAATTAATGTAGTTTTTAGTAAAGCTTTCAATTTTTCAGAAAGAAAATGTTCAAACACAGGATAAATCAATGATAATTAAGTTATATCATTTTCAGACACCACAGGTACTTACTGATGAATATATATAAATACACAATTTATGGGAGGTATATTGTTCTCTAATATGGAATTATGGCAACAAATTATATCAACACTAGTGCACAATACAGGATATCAGAATGGTAATGTAGTTACTTGTGGATTGAAGGGAGGGGGAGGGCAGGAATTGACACTTAAAGAGATAGAACTCATTTAATGGCCATGAAGAATTTAAAACCAAAATCTCCACTAAAAATAAGAGCACAATATTTCATCGGATACAAATTTTTTAAAGAATATTTTCTAAAACTTTCTTAAAAGTTTGTCATATGTGAACATGAAAATTCATTAAAAAGTTTGGTGGTAATAACTGGTCAATGACAAAATATAGGGGATTAGAAATTCTCTGCAAAACCTCTGGAAACAAATCCCTTCAGGGTGAACACTCTATTTTCCTCGGACAATATCAAAACATAGGTACAGAAATAGAATGGTATGGTAAATGTAATATAAATTAACAGAAAACAAATATCTTGATATATAAGCACGACAGACACAAGAACAATAACAACAAGATACGTCAACAAAAACATAGCTCGGAAATTTATAACAATTTTGATGAATATTTTAAATCATCAGAATAAAGTTGTTAAAGGGATACTTCAAAGAATATGAATATAGGATGTGCAGGGAGGCACTTATAGTTGACAGTATATGGCTGGTCAGGGATCTTAACTGAGCTCCAGGAAAAGATATTGTCTGAGCTTGGGGTGAAAATAAAGTAACCTATTCATCTGCCAAATTTATGTTCAGATCAAAAAATGGTTGAACCAATATACTATAGTATTGGGAATCTTTACAAAAGTTAATTCTAATTTAGCGCAAAGCTCACTTTTTAGATGCACATATTCAGGAAATGATATTTCATACTATAGAATATAATGTTTCAAATATCAGAAAAGTAAATTATTTCCTGATTTCAAGAGGTTAACTGTGAAACATACCCCTGTATAGCGCCAAATACTGCCCAGGGTAATATTCAGCCTTCACCAGTAAAATATTTACTCGCCCATCAAATTTCAACCTTCACATTCGAAATACTACATATTTATTGTAAACTGTGTTATACTTATACCTTTTGTACTCATTATGAAGGGTGGCAAATTTAAACTTTGGTGCACATTTTCAAGAATATATATACACTATATAGTAAAATATACACATCACCTGGTTAAATAATCTGGCATATTAAGGTAGTCACAGTGAACAACAATACACACCATATACACATTATTACAATTCAACATACAAAACAGGGTGAAAATAATTATATACACTAGCCCGGTGAATGAAATTATGTGTCTTGTTCTTGTGTATATTCCACGTCATGTTATCAATAATGAGAAGAGATGACAACATCAACTGGGATATCAGCAAGTTTAATCCAGTGTTTACATGTTTCGGCCCACTAGGTGGGTCGTCACCCTGTCTTGTTGTTAGATTATTACATGTGTATACTGTTTATTGCTCATGTCTTGTTCGTGTGTACCCGTATAATTCAAGTCTTGTTTTAAGGTGTATTACACATGTCTGGTGTATAGTACATTTGCTTTGTGTTTATTACATGTGTCTTGTCTCATTGTATAGTCTAATATTTAAAGGTTTCTTGATGTTGTGTATATAACATGTGTCTTCTGTTTGTGTTTTGCAAAAATATATGTGTCTTGAGTATAATACATTTGTATTGTGTATATTACATGTGTCTTGTGTATATAAGATTTGTATTGTGTATATTACATGTGTCTTGTGTATAAAACATATGGCTTGTGTATATAACATGTGTCTTGTGTATATTACATGTGTCTTGTGTATATTACATGTGTCTTGTGTATATAACATTTGTATTGTGTATATTACATGTGTCTTGTGTATATAACATGTGTCTTGTGTATATTACATGTGTCTTGTGTATATTACATGTGTCTTGTGTATATTACACGTGCTTTGTGTATATTACATGTGTCTTGTGTATATTACACGTGCTTTGTGTATATTACACGTGCTTTGTGTATATTACACGTGTTTTGTGTATATTACATGTGTTTTGTGTATACTACATGTGTCTTGTGTATATTACATGTGTCTTGATGAATGAGCTAGAAAATATAACAATATTTGACCATTAGGCCTGGGTATCACCACTTCATCCACAACCATTAAACATGAAGCATAAACAACTTCAACACATGTTAACATTAACATCAGACTTATATTTACAGCCGTGTACAAAAACCCAACATGTTATTAAAAAGACACATACTTAAAACATATTCCAATTAAACCATATAGTCAATTAATGGGAAAAGAAAGAGGTTAATTTATATGAATACATCTGTGAACAAAGATCTGATTACAAAGACTCATTGTATAGCAATAGAAAGGTAGGAATATATCAATAATCAGAACATATGTCAATAGTGTGCGGTTCAATTAACTGAAAACTCCAGCACAAAAACAAAAAAAAATACACCTTTGTCTTACTCTAAATCAAGCTGCATAACTGAAGTCTGAAGACTCCATGTAAGTTTTACTCCTCAGCAAAGGTAAACATATAAAACTAATGTACAAACTTTTGCGTCTATAAAATGAAAAAAAATAATTGAAATAAAGGCTTTGTATGAAGGCATATATTACTAACAATGTACATAAAAAGTGTACAGATCTCTTTCTTAACATTTTCTTCGGGTTGGTAAGTATGGATTATGAGGTGTTCTTTTTACACAACCAATACAAATTTCTATGTGACGTTTCGATGACTAGTACGATATGTACACTGTCACCTACATCAGACAAATGACCAATGAAGCGTATGCACACAAAGGTGTAAAATGTGTACGAGTTGTCTATACAATCGATGTCATTTTCGGCTACGCTGGAAACGTATGTACAACAGTTGTTATATATGTACCGAAATGACTCAATTCAGCTACGGTTTGTTAACACTTGGTCATAGTCATAGATGTGCGAGAGTCTTCTAAATCGAGAAGAGGGGGTTCAAAGACTCTCTTCATTGGTCATTTGTCTGATGAAGGTGACAGTGTACATAGTGTACATATCTAGTTATCTGGGCCTTACTCAAGGCTTGGTCATCTTAACCCAAAGTGAATGCATTAATCAAAAATATTTTTTTAAATGACTAAAATGTGTTTAGTTTGTATGTGCTTGATATCCTATTAACAGCTATGGTCGTTTAAGGATGGGCCCAGGTTATGGTGGGGGAGGATAGCCGATTACCTGCAGCCAGTACCTGGTGACTGCCCCAAACCTTGAACAATCATACACCTTAACCACTCAACTACTGCCTCGACTGAAATTCTAACTAATATTGTATATAGAAGGATTCAGAAGGACTCTCTGGTGACTAGAAACACAAAAAAAACGTTTTTTTATGCTTTTTAAAAATTACATGTGAAAAATTTGCATTTAGAACTTGTTAAGATAATCATACCTTGAAAAACCCAGCCCTGGTGTTGTTTACAGCAAACTTTAAACAATAACATTAAACTTTAGAAGTCTCATTTTTTACCCCTGAACATATCATATTTTAAGGGAATTAAAATTGCTGTTACTGATAAATAAAAATGTCCATTATAGCTTACATGGTAGGTTTCAAAATAACACATCTGTGAATGAACTTTATACGTTTTTCTTTTTAAAAAAAACATTTCTATTAAAATATATAAGAATGCCTATGTCTAATTACTCACTACAAAAATTTAACTTATGTCAACTTACATCTCACAGACAAAAACAACTTGGGTAGCCAGTTACACAGAACAACCTCATCACCCTGAACAATATGGTTCCTGATTAAAAGTTTGTAAAAACAAATTTTCCAGATTATAGATTCTAGATATTGAATGAAACAGTTACTGTCACTAACAAATTCATTTACTGTATATTTGGTTTGTTTGTGTTTTACCTCCTATTAACATCTATGGTCATTTAAGGACGTGCCAGATTTTGGCGGAGGAGGAAAGCCAGAGTTCCCGGGGGAAAACCACAAACCTATGACAAGTAACCTAACGACTGGCCCATGTGGGCCCCGAACCCGCGACCCAGTGTTGGAGGGCTAGTGGTAGCAGAATGTCAGGCTGTATATACCATTTGGAAAGTCTACTGGGTTAACATAAGTGTCCAGATAGATAAGGTCCCACCGTACTGCTGGGGAATTCTGTGTAACATAAGTGTCCAGATAGATAGAATTCTATGTATTGACATGATCATACAGAAATGAACGACTTGTTGTCCACAACAACCAATTTAAGCAGAATCACAGATTAATGTTAATGATATGACTGAATCTCAGCAGCACCATTCTTCAAATGCACCATAAACACAAAGTTAATCTTGTTTGAGATAACTGTTGATCAACTCTCTCTCTCTCCCTCTCTCTGAGGTAACTGTTGATCAAAACTGTTTTTTAGATAACTGTTGATCAACTCTCTCTCTGAGGTAACTGCTGATCAACTCTCTATTTTAGATAAAAGTTTCTCTCTCTCTGAGATAACTGTTGATCAACTCTCTATTTGAGATAACCATCGCTCACAGTTCCCATACTAGCGTCTATTTTCTGGAACTGTGTGGAGATTTCGTCCAAAATGTCATCAATGTGACTTCCATCACCAGAAACATCACTCACAGATCTCCTGCAAATACAAAACAAAAATCTGATTCAAAGTTTGTACAGTCTTTTTTTTATTACCAGGGTATTTGGTTTAATTGGACCATCATACAAATCAAAAGCAACTCATTCCTACAGAAGAGGAAGGATTTAAAAGAATTTGCTATATTTCTCTTATTGGGCCCCGCCCATCAGCCCCCAGGGGGACCAGACCCACCATTTATACAAAATTTGTTTCCCTTCCCCTAAAGATGCTTCTGACCAAATTTAGTCAAAATCTGCTCAGCCGTTTATGACAAGTAGCGATTTTTAGGAAAATTTGACGGCCACCGGACACCGCGCCATGGCATAAGCTCACTTGCCCTTCGGGCAGGTGAGGTAAAAATCCCTTAATCCCTACGGTAGAAGAAGGATTTTAAACGTTTTACCTCTATTTCCCCTATTGGGCCCCTCCTCTCTGCCTCGAGGAGGGCCCCACCCACCGTTTATACAAAATTGAGTCCCCTTGGCCTATGGATGCTCCAGACCAAATTTAGTCAAACTCTCCTTGGCCGTTCAAGACGAGTAGCGTTTTAAAGGAAAAGTTGATGGACGGACGACGGACGGACGGACGGACGGACGACGGACGCTGCGGTATGGCATAAGCTCACCATGGTCCTTTGGACCAGAAGAGCTAAATAGTGAATTTGAACATGGATTCGATCTTGCATCGTTCACTTGCTCTGGTCAAATGTACACTGTGTTACACAATCGGCTACATCGGATATACACTAGTATGGAAATACAATCTGTTTTAACCCAAGAAGCACCTTTCTCAGAAACGTTATGTTTTTCATTATTTTGAGCGCTTTCCCAAACAGCCACAGGAGGATTTTTAGTTAGGAAAACCCCATTACTTTCATAGATTTAATGAATATGGCTATATTTACAGTATTATATTAACAATACCTAATATCTCAGCAGTTCAAAAATTCATATTCAATTTGTTTGATATCTATTCTGTGCATTATCGCTGGTAGAAATTAATAACTCATTAATAAATATTGTTTCCTGTATTCATAAGTGTTTATTATTTAGTTTGATCAATTTCATACCCCTAAAAAAATATTAAAACTTAACCTAACAAAGCACATACAGAGAAAAACTAAAAGTCAGACATGTAACTTTAAAAACAGGTAAGTTACCTGTGGAGTAAGTATGAAACAGACTATAATTGGTTTGCCATTGTCTTCCTATATCAACACTCTTCTTTGTTCTATAAAAAGTGGGGGAACTGAGAACACCCCATATACCAGGTATGTCTTATTACCCAATACACAGGTATATCTACCTCACAGTACTGAATACATATACATTTTAGACAATTTGACACATTTCTTTGTCAGCACTGTCATTATTACTTCTTTGCCCATGTATCTATTTAAGTAATACGCATCCAACCAACATTTGTTTGGATCCAGTGCCAATATTGGATCATACTGTCGTTATTACTTATGAGACCTATATACCTACAATATATATATATATATATACAGGTATGTCTTATTACCCAATACACAGGTATATTTACCTTAGGCACAGGTATCACATTACTGAATACATATACATTTTAGACAATATTCCCCAGGTATGTAAATGCTACGGTTTATCAACACAACCTACACTGACCTAGAACACCGGCTATTGATTTATTATCAGTTTGTCTGTCGGTAACCACGCTCAACAGGGAAGTTTTTTAGTCTGCACACCTGCAGGTCTAAACAGGTGAATCTACCCATTACCATGGATGTGTGTACACAGAGCAGACATTTGTTGATATTACTTACCAGTCAGATTTTAGCCAAACATATGACTTCCAAGTTTTTACAATGTCGGCAGGAAAGTGACAGATTTATCAACAAAGCTACATGTCATCATGTGATTGTGAATCCCAGGGTTGGATAACTATTGACAATGCAAGTGAACATTGAGAAGTGTGGAATGGAAAACTTGAATTCATCATCACAGTAACCCTGTGACATCAGTGATCGTGAGGTAGTTATTTCATATTATTTTTCACAAGACTATATGGTAAAGTTTCCATTTCTTTACAAAACAAACTCTTATATGTGAGTGTTTACCGATAACAATATATATTTATACAAGAACAACAAACTTCTTCAAGTTTTCAACAAATAATTTAGCTTTTTATCAAAATGGTAACCCCTATAAGCCAAATACCTCTCCGTATTAAAGGTCAAACGACATGTATTCACCACAAGGGGAGACAGCTAGAATTCTATTGTGAAAGATGTCAGGAACTGGTTTGTCCAAAATGCCTTTCTTCTATTCACAAAACCCATCCACTTTGTGAGCTAAGTGAAATCACTCCTAAGAAAGAACCAGACATTAAAAACTTTATAGACAGAACAGAAAAAAATGACCTTGTGCAAATCTGGAAATATATCACCACTACTGATAAGCTCCTTAAAGACAACACCAGTACTTTTGAGAAGCTGTCACAAAAGTTAAAAATGCAAACAGATAAATTAAAACAAGAGCTGGACATGCTTACACAACAGACACTTTCTCTTTACCACAAAATGGAAGAGGATAATACCAAGCTGATAAAGAAATACAAACAGGACCTGGAGATGTACGAGAAGCAACTCAAACAACAAATTCAAGAATGTAAAGCAGCTCTCCAGCGTGGTTCACACATACAGATTTATGATACATATTGTGAGATCCATTCTCCTATATACAGTCTCCCTTTAAAACCTGTCCTGGGTTCTGCCAACTTCACTCCAAATGAAAATCCTCAAGATCAGTTGAAAAAAGCCTTGGTAAAAGTTACCACGTCAGGTCAAGGTCAAACTTTAACTGACCAGGATCAGTCAGTCTCTACATCTGATTATCTGGGACAACCCTCTACAACACAACAGCGGTCAGAAGCAAAAGTGGAGACAGCAGTGAAAACATACAAACTACTGCCACAGACCAAGGTAGTGGAGGAGTGGGAGTCTCCATGTAACATTAGGTCTATGTGTCCCACCACTGATGGTCAGGTGTGGACCCAGTACAGAAACAAATTAACTCTCCTTGACAGGAAGGGTAAAGTAATACACGAGGTCACACACAATGTCCTGATCAATGCCATCAGTCTGTCACCCTCCACACACACACTGTGGGTCTGTGATGATGACAAAAACATCATGGAGCTGGTATCAGGGCGACTGACACACAGATTCAGTACCAAGAAGAAACCCGAGTGTATATGTATTACAGCCAGTAACTATGTCATTGTAGGGATGTACAGACACATCTCTAAATTTACCACAGATGGTAAAATGGTGTGTACTTCTATGGCTAAAGGGACTGGGAAACCATTAGTGTGTACACCAGACAGGATCTCTGAATGTCCTGTCACTCATAATGTGGCAGTCGCTGATTACAGTGAAAGCGATGGTGGTTATGGAAACCAACATGTTGTTGTGATGGACACTGATTTCAAAGAACTGTTTGAATATAGAGGTGACATCCCCAGTACATATACACATACACCACAAACAGGAGATGGACCGTTTACCCCCCGTGATGTGGTGTATGACAGTGTGGGGAACTTGATCATAGGGGACTGTGACAACAACAGGGTCCTTCTCATCAGTGGAGGTGGTGAGTTCCTCAGGGTCATACACACAGACACAGTCTATACATGGGCTGTAGGTATAGACAGGGAGGATGTGCTGTGGGCAAAGTTTGGGTTTTATGTCAAACTATTACAGTACAGCAGTATGTGACACCTGTAACCAAACAACTAGTATATCGAGTTACCATGACAATGACACGGAAATCAGAAACAAAGGAAACTTATCACGATTACAAATCAACTAACGATGTGTGACATTCACAGGATTATAAGTAAAATGTTTAAACTACAGATTTTGTGATATTCACAGGATTATATGTAATATGTCTAGACTACAGATTGTGTGACATTCACAGGATTATAAGTAAAACGTATAGACTACAGATTGTGTGACATTCACAGGATTAAAAGTAATATGTCTAGACTACAGATTGTGTGACATTTACAGGATTATAAGTAAAAAGTCTAGACCATACAAAGGTCAGCGTCACCCCGCACTGTTTTAAGAAACTATCAGAGCGTGCAGACGAATTTTACATCAGCTTTCCGCCATCCACCCCAACCTTCACCTTATAATTATTACATTGTATGCATGTTTACTGCAGCATCAGTTTCTTGAGTGTTTTATTTACATACATCTACAAGTGTACCAAGAAGTATAGTACCATAAGTAAACGGAGCAATTCGTGTTGTTACATGTAATAGTATTTAATGATGAAAGAGCAGACACAAGTCGCATAGAGTGAAGTCATATACAACTGTACATGCACTTGTATATATTTATTCAAATGTTATAATATTTGGGCTATATCATGGTAGGGATATAGGGAATACAGATCAGAGGTTTAGACTATGCATGGTACAGGAGGTACACAACACATATGTTGTTGTATTCAGCCCCATGTTAATATACAGTTAAACCTACATAATAAGGTGTCTATAAGTTATAATTAGGTATCCTATATATCAAGGATTTTCCAACAATGATGAATCCTCTCATGGGATTGGTACAACATGGTCTAACGGGGCCCATGTGTCCAATCCAGGATTCAGGAATTATCCTCTCGTGGGATCTATATCCAGGAAATTAGATCTAGATATCATGCGGACCCAGGAATTTCCTGATCAGATATCCTCTCATGAGATCCAGGTATATGAGCTACTCATCATGTCTGGATCCAGGATTGTCAGAAATATCCTCTCATTGGGGTCCGTATTTTGATAATGGGAAATCTCATCCAGCCGTTGGGACCAGGGGCGACCGTTTCGCTCCTGGGGGATATATTGGCAGTAATCCTGGGACAAGGGGTAAAG